AAATTCTGCCGATGGCACCAGCCCCTGAGCCGTGCGTTGACGAGGTGCGATTTCCTGTTCCTTTCAGCGTTCTTCCCTGTCACTGAAGGGATTGATGAAAACACTACCTGTGCTCCCGCTCCATCGACCAGTCGCCCCAGCGCTCTGAAGTCCGTTTTAATTGGGCTTCTTAGTGCAACCTCATCGTTGCCAACCTGCATGACCAACAGTGGGTAGTAATCAGTGGGCCGAACCAGACCAGGGAGTTTCCTGGTGATGTCTCTCACCCGGGCCCCGAGGAGGCAGCAGCCTGCCCTGTGGGTTGGGTCTGGTCGGCATATTGGGCCCTCTGTACCCCTCAGAAGGGAGTCGCCTACTACAATTACCCTCCTTTTTTTCTTAACAGAGCACGTCTTGATGCGTGGGGCTGGCTGACTCGCCTTAGGCAGCCCCCTGGATGGACTTTCATCAAGGTCCTCATGTTTCTGGCCTTCAAGTTCCAGAGCCCCATCCATACCTGTTCTGTGAGGGCAGCTGGGACAGTGAGGGAGGCTGGGAGGTGATTTGCCTGCTGTCCCCGAGCAGGGACCCATTTCCAACAAATTAGGTTTATTTCCAACAAATTAGCACCTTTTTTTTATTACTGTAGACTTAGTTTCCCTTACACAACTAAAAATACAACTCAGCTCAGTACCTGGCTCAAGAATTATGGATGTTAATGTGTTTTGGGCTAATAGGGATCATTAATATCTTTGCGTATTCTGGATTTGGGGTTTTGAATCAGATTTGAGAGACAGTAAAAAAGAAGGCAGGAGTGCAGTTGGCAGAGAAGATATTTTAGACCATCAATTGCCTCAAAAGGACAAGGTATATGTTCACATACTTAATGATATTACACTGCACAAAGCCCATACTATCTTGCTGCACTGAGTAACTTGGAGCAACGAAAATAGCACTCAAAGCCTCATTAGAAAGCCTTTACCATATGGCTAGTTTTGTCTCCTGTGCATTCTCCTACACCAGCTCACCACACTATTACGTGTTTGGTTTACATGTTGGGATCTGTATAGATTGAAGGAGATTTCCAATTGATTTTTCAATATCATGGAGGTGTCTTTTAAAATACCTTGAGGGCTGCTACGGAATTGCAGATCTGTATTACCACTGATAATGATTTATTTTAAAGTAAACAACATTTATAATCTGGATTGTGTGAAGTAAACAGAAAGATCTGCAGCAACTGTGATTCTCTTGAGACACTCATATAGACCACCTACATACATGAAAATGACTGATGATTTATATAGCTCAGCATAAAATAACCTGTTGATCTCTGCATTTTATGTGATGCTACATTATAGAAACACCTTGTAACACCTCTGCTAATGAAGAGCTGTAACTGCCCAATTCTACGTAATCATAAACTTCAAAAATCAGTTTAGCCAAAGATCGTATGTATCAGAAAAACAATTTATCTGATTCCTAATTTTTCTTGCTGAAAGTTTTCTTTTACTTTCCTTCAGTTTGGGAAATAATAAAGAAAAGGCTTAACTCCTCCTCAGCTGTACATTACATCCCTAAATCCATGCCGCAGGGTAAAGTAATACTCTTTATGTGGTGACAGCACCATCATGCCTCTGAGGATCTCAAATCACTTCTCAAATATTAAAGTCCCCCCAGTACCATTGCGAGATATTTGTGAATACATGGCAGTGACCTTCATTTTACAGATGAGGAATCTGAGGGGCAGAAAAGTTAAACAACTTGGCCAAGACTACAAAATAAGATACTGGAGGACCAAAGAATATGGAGTCATTGATTTTTTGGTCATGTGCTTTAACAGCTAGAAAATGCTCCGTCTGAGAATAGGGAAGGAAAGAAAAAAGGGGGGAAATGGGAATAAGAAACTAGAGATGCTGTAGATAAGAATTAAGATACGTTGGCAGAGTGGTGTATGACATATAAGGGAAAATCACAGTAACTTCCAGCTGAAATACATCCACGGAGGGAGAGATGTGCAGCCTGCTGCAGTAAGCTCCTGAATGAACAGTCAGCCATTAAATGGAAATGTGGATTTGAGATCTATCAGTCGGGACATCTTCTGACAATTTATACCTATGACCAAGTAATACTGGCTGCTGTTCAATATCTGATCAGATGAAGGAATCTTTACTAGCAAGCGTTGCGCTGCAGGATATAGATGGAGCAGAACTGAATGTACTGGGGAGACAGCCCCATGCATCTTGGCTATCCCATCACCTTCATTTTATGGTACAAAATCATCAATCAAAGCTGATCCCATGGAACTTACATCTCAAGGAGAATCAGGGAGCTAGAGTTCTACATTACCTGCAAACTCATTTAAAGATACCTATTTCTAAAACAAAACTGTTGCTCACAGGTGAGATTTTCCAAAATACTCAGCACTGGCCCAAAAAAGCTTCTGGATCTGGCAACAAGATTGTTTTAAATTCAGTGGGAACACAACTCATCCAAAGCCGTACCCTTTGGACAATCCCACACAAATTATTTTTGGTCAGATTTTATCCTTAACTTCTAACAAGTCGCATCTTTCATTATTGTCTTTTAGCAAATGAAGAAGCCAAAACTCAAACAGTAAGAATAACAATGATCTAATTTCTTCATTTATATACATAAATATTTCAATGGAAAAATCAATCCACTGCCAATCTGTTCTTGTGTGTCCTATTTTAAAAACAAAGGTGGCTTGGATATTCTTTTGGTACCAAACCAGTTTTTCTATTACACACAAGTGATCCAGTTGTCACAAGATCAGACCATGCAAAATTTGTTTTGGAAAACATGTGTTTGGATATTGAGTGTGAGATTAAAAAATACAAATGAAACAAAGTAAGAATTAAACAGAAGAGATTATAAATTTGGGTAGCCAAAATACAACCTGTTTGAAAGCCAGCCAGATCATTTGGATTAAGCAGGCTTATTTTAAGATGTGCAGTCCTGATGGGTCATGGCCTCCAAGCCAGATCTGTTTACAGTTACGGGCTGAACCCTTCATAAAAGCTGGATTTGTCAGGCTTTTGAAAAATCGCTACTCAGGCCACAGACTAGTGGGCATGTTTGGGTGCCCATGTTATAAGCTGCTAACATTAGAAATGCCCATGCTTCAGATCAGGTATCTCTTGAAACACTTTATTACCCTCTTCTTGTAATATGGAAGTTGAAAGCAGGCAGCCTTGTGGCAGACAGAGAAATAAAGACAACAGCTGCAAAACTGTGTTGTTTTTATTTTAAACATGCAAAATACAGTTCATGCATCTGCCATTTTGAAAAATCTCTCAGTTCATAGCAGATTAAATCAAAGACATTTTGGCTATCGACTCTCAATAAATATTTCAAAATGCTTTACAGTGTAAAGATAAGAAATTTAGCAAAATTTCAACAAACCTGTATAAAAAACAGATACAGTTAACTTTTTATTTCAAGGCGACATGCTGTAATGTAAAGAGTTCACTTTTTTTTCTGGATTTTTTTCTCATAAAAAGTTTTCAACAATACAACCGCTTAACAGATTTAAGCCTTTAGGCTACACATGCAAAAAAAATGGTTATTTTAGTTAAAAATCACCAAAACGTGCTATTATTTTTTGTTGTTTAATTTTTAAGTACAGTAGTTGTAGACAGTAGCATTTTTATTTTTTAATTTTGTAAAAGAGTGCAGGCGAGTTCACGGAGCTAGTGTCCTGGAAGACTCGTACTCTGACATACATTTTGGTTTTATCCCTTTGCCATTGTAATAGTCCACGACTTGGTTTGGAACTTCAGCCAAAACGCTTTTTGCTAGAGCAGCTGGGGATGCCTGCAGGAAATGGTAGAAAACACAAGCGTTAACCTGTCTCTCTGCTAGAAGTGCCGTGGGTTTTAGAGGCACTGCTGCCATGAGATCAAGGTAGGAAGTGTGGTACAGAAATGGAAGGCAAAAAAGACTCAAAAAGTGAGTGGCACTGTTGCTGGAAACTCATTCTGTGAGTTGGTTTGGGCATGTAGCTGTAGCTGCCTGAAAGTACACTAAAGCCAAAAGTGCTCTGCATGTTTTTCAGGTCTATTTGGACTATTTAAGTTCTGTAACTATAAGTTCAGGTGAACTGAACTTCCCTGCACTCTGGGAGAGCACCATATCACGATGAAAACGGCTGCAAAGACTTCATTTATCAGTACTTGGCAAGGAACCCTGCAGGGCTTCCAGTTGAACATGAATGGACATCACTGTAAAAGGGAGGCCTCCATCACCATTCTGCTCTTCAGGATCTGGCATGGTGTTTTAATGGCTAGGGAAGTTCTTAATTCCATAAAAAAGATTTTGTTTTCATTGGAATTAAACCATGGTCACGAGAAAGCTTCAATCCCAGGCTTTGTGGAAGCTTTAAAGCTCTTCCCGCAACATAAAGATGGTGGATGCCAACCAGAGTTAAGAACTGATGACCCTGAAATATAGAGTTGGATATAGAGATGGCCACTGGCTTTCACGACAGGCAGGGAGGAGGGCTACCCCGCAGTGCAATGAGAAACTATGCCCTCCGTCAGCAGCACAGAGTTGCTGCCTCACACCCTGACAATGCTTCGTTTTAAGCAGCAGGGCCTGTGGATGTTCTGTGGGCAACTGATACCTGCATGTGCTGCAGGGATTTTCCTCAGCCCCTGAATTCAGCAGTGACAAAATTGGCCTCCTGTTCTCCCGTGCAGCCCAATAGCACCCTCTTACCCCATCTTTTGGATTTGCTTGTTTCTAAGTATTTGGGTAGAGCTGATTTCAAGCCCCCCGGAGCCAGCCTGCCTGACGATGTTCCCTCTGAGCCCACCCCAAAAATGCAGTAAAAATCGAAATGCTTAAATGTCAGTTTGAGAGGTTTAAAATAATGTGTTTACCTCCAGATGGAGCACACATGGATCACACATTGCAGCTCAGATGATGCAAGGGAACTCAAATGGTGGCTGGGGCACATTTCTTCTGCACACCAAGTACTTTTTCCCACATTAATGAACACTTCCCCCCTCAATGTCTGTTATATTTTCAGCCAGGTTTCAAAACTACCATGTCACAAAGTAGTTGCATTGACTGCTTATTGCCCAACTCCATGTCATGGGTGGGATCCTTGTCCTTCCAGAGTCTTAAAATTAGGCTTACATAGGATGTAAATGGTAAACTATTCATAGGCAAGGTACTCCGGGGGTGCAGAAAGCCCCTGGGCTATTATAAATTCCAGTATCAAACGTTACAATGCTACAAATACAAAGATAACGCTAGCAAAACCAGAAACAAAACTGTATTTTGTATTTTGGTATTTTGAGTCACGTATGTGATTAGTAACGAATAAAGAGAATCGCTGTTTCCCTACTGCGACATTTATACCAAAATATTTGCAGGCAAAAAAGCCTGGAACATTTCTGCATGAACAAACTGGCAAAGCAGAGCCCATACTTTGCACCACAGCGCAGCAACTGTTCTCAGGTGTTACACAGTAACAGAACTCATTTATTTTAATCCTTCGAAGTGCAATGCGTGGTTTTCCACAGTTACCCTGTTCTTGCTTAAAACTTTTCACTGAAATCAGCAGAAAATACCCCCTGGAGTCAGGCGAATGGCTGATTTCTATGTTGCTATTGAGAGTTACTGTTTTTTTAATCTTCCGAGCCTGCCAAAGTTGTGTATGACTTAGCCCGCCTCTGTGCTGTCTTACCAAAAATACAACCCTGCATAAAGGGTAAGAACAGGGAGCGGGGGAAGAATGCACACGCATGCCCCTGCAATCAGGAAACTTCACTCTGCTCTATCGTTAGAAATGCTGGGCAGGAGCACTTGCCACCAGCTCCTCTGCGTCAGGTGTAGTCCACGTGTCTGAACACTGGGCCAACACGCATCTCCCTGCATTGCCTCCCGTCGCCGCTTCTCTCTCTTCTGACGCCACATCCGTTCTTCCTGAACGAAGGGTCAGCCCTTCCGAACAGGCTCTCTCAGGGCTCAGGTGCACGGCGGAATCACCGCCACTGGAGGAGTCAACTGAGCGATGCGCTCCTCGCCCGGCGTGCATGTGAAGTAAAGAGCCTTTCACTGAGCCTTAAGCTAACACATTTACTGCGCCCACAGGCTCACAGGCTGCTTGTGGCCCCACACTGAGGTGCCCTGGGCTAGCTGGCTTGACTCCGTGCTCCAGTCTGATCAGGGACAACTGTTGCGTTACAGAGTTTCATCATGCTGGTGATGTCTGTTAGTCCTGGGGCTCTTTCTAGTAGGGAGCATCCCAAAACCGTGGTTAGGGGTGCATTCCCATCTGGTGCCTCAGGGCACCTGTACCTGACGTACTTTTGTGGTGGTAAAAGTGCTTTCACTTCTAGACCAGATGGTTGCAAAGCAGCATTTGTGTAAGAACCAGACCCAGTAACTTCCGAGCTAAGAACCAGCCCTTGTTTAGCAGTGCTGTGTAAGGGTTACCTTCGCTGGGTTTTTAACACAGATGGTACATTAATGTTTTACTGTAATGTTTTCTCCCTGTTTAACTGCTATGCTTGAAGAGCATCCTAGCAATAAACACCTTAAGATGAATAGTTCTCAACTCATGGCTAATACACAATCAGATCAGCCAGCAGCAGGAAAATAATCCCCTATGATGATAATTGGTGTATATTACAAATGACTGTTCATTCAGTTCTATAGCTTCACCATGCTTAATCTTTAATTACAATGCATAGTGCAGCCATTGCTCCTTGCAGTGGTTAAGAGCTGTGCTTTCCACACTCATTTGTGATATATGTGTTATTAAGTCACAGTTGTTAGCCTCTGTGATTGAATACAATGCAGAATGGAATACAATCTACCTGTGGTATCAGATTTGTGCACAGTAAATATATCATGCATCCTAAAGGCAGAGAATTTCAGCTCTTAAATTATGACTGCGAATGGATTGAGACAGGTGATTTTCTTCAGCTACATTTCAGTGATTGTCAGCATCGCTGTTCTACAGTTTTAGGTGAAGGACACTCACATTGCTGGGGTGGTGATAATTATAGAGAGAAGAAATTCACTTGGGTTCAGGGAAAATATTTTCCCTTTATTTGTTATGTTCCCCTGTAGTGAATTGCACGTCACCCACTCTACAATGGGACATCTTTTTTAAACAGTAATGGTTATCTCGATTTTATGAAGCCTGTGCAACTACAGGATTTGCCAAGAATCACTACAATTATTATTATTATTTTGATGTCTTCAAAGTTATTCCCTAAAGAGAGCCAAAAAGGTAACATGCTTTACTGAAGTACTCCTGATACACTACATCAGGTAGGAGATTAAAGCCCTATAATAAAGCTTTCTGCCCACATTGGGTCTTGGGACAGTAAAACATTGAAATGAGTATGAGGTTTTAGGTATGTGAATAATTGTAACTAACTGAAATGTGTTAAATGCCCGTATGAATGACATTGAAGTGAGTATTGAGGTTTTAGGTATGTGAATAATTGTAACCAACTGAAATGTGTTAAATGCCCGTATGAATGCTGTGCAGGATCAGAACAGTCTCTGAAGTCAAACTTATAAAACAAAAAGTATTCACTCTATAGGTAATTTTTACAACTTCCTTCTCCCTCCTTTCAATTTTCTCACAGGGGCAGCTTTTTGATAGATTATTTTTGATCTCTTTGGATAGATATGAGATTTTGAGTTCCAGGCTGACCTAAGAATTGAAGTAATGAAAAAAAATACTGTTTGGGTTGACTCCAAATAAATTTCGGTTTACTGTTCCAGCAAAATAAAAAATAATTGCTCACTAATAATGTTTTCTTCCCTCCTTCCATCAGTAGTAGAGGTAATACAGATTGAGGCATAAATAGATACTTGATTTATCAGAAAAACCTATAAACCTTATACAACTTGACTTGTAGTCTTTCTGAAAAGATCCTTCAACTTTTTTTTTCTACTTAATAGTTCAGCAACCTAAATATCAAAACTAAACACAAAGTGCATTGACAAAAGGGATGTGATTTTTAACTAAATACATCTTTTACTTAAAGCTGTCAAATGTAATATACTGATTTATGGTCATTATTGTGTTTGATCAGAACTGATCTGACAAAAATCTCCCAAATGTGTTAAATCCACATTTCCCTGTGGGGAAAATAAGTTTGAATCAAAACACCACATTGATTTCTCCCATGAAAAATCATTTCACTAGTTGATGCAAAAGGCATGGTCTTTTGTTTGTGCTGAGGATAAGTAGGCAAGATAGCTGTGAATGTCACTTTGTTCAGAGAGGGATATTATTTGGGGTACGACAATAAAGAAACTCAGCCAGAAATGGCCATTGTTATTGGCACTCGTCCATTACATTGACATTTGCTGAAATGCTGAAAGATCACAAGAAACGGACTAAATATCAAGTTGGGTAAGATACATTGTCTTATCTGATGTAGCAAATACATTATCTATCTCTATATCTATATTATCTCTGCTACTGAGAGAAAGGGGGAGAAAAATATCACTATTTAACAAGAGCAATAAATTTTTAAGGTTGCTATCCTCTCCCAGTACAGAGGTTAATCTAAAACAGCTAAAAATAATATATGCTTGTCATTTGACCAATGCTAGCAATTAAAATCACACATAGACTCACTCACAAGTTAACACCAGAGGCACAATATATTCAGTGCCCGGAACTGCAACTGTCAGCGTTGATCTATTCAATCAAGGATGATTTCAACTTCGTTATAAAATCACAAAATGAAACCAAAAATAACAAATACAGCTGGCTTTGCCAGTTCCTTGCAGAAAAGTGTTTTCAACTAATTGAAAGTAGGTCTAGCACTAGCCCAGAAATAACTTGCCTCTCCACACTTTTACAATAGACTACAGTGCAGCAGTACACACTTGTGATTACCCGATGGAGGAGAATCACAAGCTATGAGCAGGTTGTCCTCATACTTTGTTTCAGCAGATACTTAATAGATGACTGAGTGGCACTGTCAGCATAGGAAGGTACATATCTACAATTCAGCGGCAAATCTGCAGCTGTCTGGCATGGTAACGTGTGCTAATAGCACAAGGTGAGTTTTACACCGTGTGAGGCTCCATTTACATAGAGGGAAAAGAGGAACAAGTCTGCTTCTTTCACTCAGTAGAGTTTGCGAAAGTAAGAAGTGTGTCTAGATCTAAGACAACTATGTCAGAATTGTATTTTGAAGAGAGAAAAAAGAACAACTCTTGAGAAGTGGAAAATAAAATGAAGGTATTTTAGAAGTAGCAAAAAGAAAAAAAACTCTTGTGGTAACAAAAAGCCTAGAAAAACTAAAGAAATGTAAGCACTGCAAACCCATATGCAGACCAAAACCAGCCCAGAACTGAAAATTTCTGTGTGGCAAATCCAGATCTGAGGATCACTAGTGTATGAAAGCAGGTTGGAAAGGGCAATCTCATGAGGAGAATGAGTCAGTTATGCTGTGGGGTAAAGACATTTTCAAATCAAATAATACCGAGGATATCCTTCTCCTAGACATTGGGGTGAGCAAAAAACCAGTCCGGAGAACCACTTAAGTATAACAGAAAGAATGAAGGGAAAGAAGGGAGGGAAAGATGGAAAAACAAAGGGAAAGTGATGTGACCGGTATCGCAGAGGAACACAATGGCCATTTCACATCTCCATATTCCATATGGAGGAAAAGGGCCCTGAAAAACCCAGCTGTGTGGGGGAAGCTCCTTCTGTGGGTGAACACAGTCTCTACCCAGCTGCTGAAAAAGTCCCTGGGACAGATGCTGCAATGTAGGGCAGGTGACTGAGGATAAAAGTACGTGGCCCAGGCATTATTTCAAATCTGGCAACTTCATGATGGGTCTGTCCTTTGCTGTCTTACAGAGTGCCTCCTACACCATGCTGGGCTCAGGCTGAGGGCACAGGGAAGCTCTTAGTAACACCACTTTCTTGGTTCTGTTATTGTACGGTATCTGGGGAAAGGGTTTGAAGGCGAGCAGGATGCTGTGGGTGGATAGTCCTGCCTTTAAGAATGTAGGGACCTAAATTTCAATATGGAAACAGCTTCCTGGGGAACACTGTAGGTACAAATTCACAGCCACTTCAGCTGCCTGTGGAAATGAAGGGATGGAAAGCAGAATACAGTAGACCTAACAGAACAGATGCAAAAAGAATGGAAAAGAGACACTAGGAAAAAAAAGCCAGGGAGGGTGACCAAACTAAAATCAGGGCGAAAGTGGAAGTAGGGACTGGCACCACAAGAGGCACATGGATTCTGCCCCATCTCTTCCTTCCCCACCCTCACCATCTCACTAATGGAGCACATTTCATTCTGTATTCCTTTTCCCCTCCATTTCTGACATAATAATGGCATAGACTTACTAAACACTTCCTGCCCATCCAAAGTTAGGCCCAGCCCCAGGGATCGTTTACTCTATGTTATATACATTCACCCTTCTCTGGAATGGATGGAAAAGTCAGCTTACATGTTTGAAGTTCCTAAATGGCACAAACTGGACAATGTCTCGAAGCACAGGCTCGCCCTTGGGAGACCTCAGGATCCCATCATCACCATCCAGCATCTGCATGTCACTAAAATCGGCGTTCCCCACCCCGACGATGATGACTGACATGGGAAGGTGAGAGGCATGGACAATGGCCTCTCTGGTGTCAGCCATGTCTGTGATGACGCCATCCGTCAGAATCAACAAGATGAAATATTGCTGAAGTTGTTGGACAAGAAGTGAAAAATTATATTGTTAGTTAATCTTCCAAAGCTGCTTGCCCTTTTCCAGTATAAAAGTGTTTCTGGCAACCCACTCATGGACTTTTTTAAATAGAAAAGAGCCTTTATAGTGACTCAAAGGTTAATTGTGTTTCCCATCCAAAACCCCTCAGCTACTAATTTCTCCTCTTCTGGAGTTTAGCTCTAGTTCTGGTAATTTCCAGGAGCTGGAGGGAGCCAAGGGATGCACAATGTAGAAAAAGGTGTTTCTAGCTGCTAGGGCTGGGAGAGTCAGGACTTTGGGTGGGAAGTCTGGAATAGTCCTGAGATGCTCACTAGCCCTATTTTCCATCTGCTGCACAATCACTTCTGCTGACAGTTTCCGATTACATTTTTTTCCCTTTGGGAACCAGTGGGAGGCAGGGAGGAATGGGGTATTGAAGCGTTACAAGCCTGCAGCAGAGCTGTCAGGGAGGTTATGACAGCACTTTGCAGAGGAGCTTTGCTAACAGGCAAGTGGGATGGGTGCAAACTGGAGGATGATCCACTGGTGCCTGTGGGAGAAGCACACCACGATGGCAGGTCTACTGCATTCTGCAGAGTAACGGGGTCCCTGAGGGGAGCAAGGGTGTGTGCAGGGAGATATACGTCCATTTTCAGGTGCTTCATACAGAGCCCTGAAGAGAGGTTTTTCTCATTCTCTAAAGCAGAGCAAGCAATTTTGTGTGCTCGTCATTTCTTTCTCAAAACTCCAAAGCCCACTGGGACTGGGATCATGGGCTATGACATCTTCACTTGGTAATAGGGAAGAGTGACTCTCACTTGGATCCTTTATGAATTGTTAGGCAGCTGGAGTCCTTTACCAAATGTGCATTAATAGGAAAAATAAATAGGTAATAGAATTTGGTCACTCTGCACAAGCAATTCCAACAAAAAGTCATCATTAAGGTTTGTGTATACACAGCTATATAAACTCACACAGAGTTCTGTTCATCACCTCCTGCCATGAATAAAACAAACCACGCAGGGAGAAAACTTTATCTGGAAGACTCATGCTGTAAATTAATTTGGTTTTCAAAGAGAAAGCGGGGATGCTTAGGTTTAGAAGAATGAAGCAACTTAATATGACATACTAGTTCAGAGGCATCACTGGGAACAGTGTGAGCCACCTCAGGATTAGGTGAGTATGGAAATTCAAACATAGCAATTTCCCTTTTTAGGACTGGGACTCTAAATAGTATCAAGATCCTGGAAACAGCACTGGAGTGACAATCACAAGTCCAGACTCATGAACAGAAATGTTTGGGAACTGCTGCCTTAATAGGACTTAAAAAAAGGCTAAGTACATGGAGAAAGTTTAGAAAAAGCTCCAGGCCTGGTGATGAGATGCATGCCAATGTACAGCTCTATTCTGTTCCTGTACATAGGCATTTTTCTTGCTGCAGTATACAAGCCCCCTCTTACATCCTTGACTCCCACAGCACTGCTCTTGTAAATGTTTCAGACCTACTCGCTCACTTACTTTCTCCAATTCTCTCATTCTCCCTTTCTCTCATTCTGTCTAGAAGGCAAGATAAAAATAAGCCTAATCCATTTCAAAGATGTAAATTTAAAACACAATCTATGCTTAAGCCTTTTAGCCCAAGAATCTGTCATGAGTTTTGTATCAGATGCAGGCTAAAAGGCTTGTCTCCTGATTTCTAAAAGGCACATAATAGTGCATGTTGGTAATAGCAAATTGAAACCTCCATCACTGTAGTTTTCAAAGGAATGGTTGTAAAAATCCCCTAGTTGAACAAAAAAGTTTTAGTACAGCCTCTGCAAGAGACTTGAAATTGGATAAACTGGAGGGAATCATTTGAACTCATCTCCTTGTATGATGAACACTTTTAAGGCTTGGCTCCTACATTTTTGTAACCTTAGTGGTGCCATTTATGTTTCCACGGTGAAGAACTGGGTGTGTTACAGTAAAACTGCTCTAAAAGCAGGAAACAGAACAGTGGGGGAAGAGTTTAAAGTTGTGACTACTGAAGCTATAAAGGCTAGATACACTGCTCCAGCTGACACAGGCTCAAGCTGCCGTCTATGAAGACAGTTAAAACTGTGAAGGCATGATTCCCATACATGAAAAGGCCTTGTTTTGATGGCCTACAAGGGATCCACCATAAGACAAGAAAAAAGCCAAACACAACATTATATCCTTACCGAGGCCTCCTTGGTGTTGGTCTCCTCAGATGCTGATTTTGCCACCTTCTGGATGATGGGAGCAATGTTTGTTGGCCCATACAGCTGCAGCTTGGGAAGGCAGCTCTGATAAGCCTCCACAACACCTTGTATTCCTAGCATGAAAAGCCACAAAAGGCAAATAAATGTCGAGCACATCACCAATGTCATGCTTGTTTAACATGTAAATAAAAGGCGTGTTCTTAATGAATAAATTCAAAATATCACATGATTAGTAAGGACTAACAACTCCAGATAAAGTCCAAGAAGCTGTCCCTAGCTGCCTTGAATCTAGTTTGTAATATATAATTCATTATACCATGCTTCTCCTTCCCAGCAGTTTTTAATGTCTGTTTTCCAGGTATCAGCTTGTAATGCCATAGCTTCCATCCTTCTCTGTTCAAGGTGTAAGTGATCACTTCCTGATCACCAGCTAAGATTCATGCTAAAAGGGTAGACACAAATTAAAAACACTTCAACACTTCTCTCTGCTCCTCTTCAGCTAAGTATTTATTTCTGTTTGTCAGTTGTAGTTACCAACAAATCTGTCCTTTGTGCTTACATCCTAGAGCTGTAAGGAATTCAGACATCTTTCCAAATACCACAGAATCACTAGGTTGGAAAGGACC